GACTTAACTCCTATAGTACACTAGTTTGATGCGTCATATGAGTCATTAAAACTTGAGCAGACTTCTGATTTCCATTTGACTTTTTCACACATTTGACACATTTCACATTTTTCACACATTTTTTCATTATACTAGTTTAGGCGCACACATGATAGAGCGTGTACACCAATATGATTTTGTATTACATTGTAAAATACATTTGACTTATAAAATAAATTTAAAATGGAAAAAAGTGTGAGTTTAAGAAATTATGAAAGTTGATCTTGTTTAACTATATAAAAAAACTCTATCTCACAAAAGTCTTCTGATTGTTATTTCAATACTTAGTGGCATTTTAGTAGACTGTATTGACTTATAGTTGCATTACTCATAATAATTATGTCTTTTTTGTTACATTTACACTTATTTAAGAAAACACAATAGAAAGGTAAGCTTAACATATATAGCCAGCTTGCATAATTCAAACAAGATGAAATAGTAAATTTGACAATAGAAGCTTCACAGACCTCAAGAGAGGAGTATCAATAACTTTTTTCAAGCATTAAATTTCTTTTCAACATTGTAAGACTTGTTTTTGATGTTATTTACTAATTATTTGTACCAAATAAACTACAAAGGAAGTGTGAAATCTACATGATTCAAATGCCTACATTATCTCAACAAACTCAAACGACTAAATGGAAATTTAAAATTCAAATTGATCCTAAAGCTGAGCAACTTATTTTGCTAAAGATTACTGCAATCACTAAGTTAAATTTCAACAACATTAAATGATCTATTATAAAAAGTTCTATGCTTTAGAAAATAGACGGTCCTAGTTGCAATATTTAACTTTTTCCGAGTTATATTTTTCCGAAAAAAGTTATGTTAAACAATTCGTCTTTCCTTTACCTTTACAAGGATATTGAGATTTAGCTCGTATTGATTTAATTTTAATCAAATCATATTGGTGATCTATTCTTCCCAATTTAATTTAATAAGAGTAGATAATGTCATTGCTTTGTCTTTCTCCTAACTAACTAGACTTTCTAGATCTGCAAGAATTTGGTTTAATTATCAAGTCCCTAGTGTAAGTCGCAATTAGCTTGATGCACTTTGTCGGACTAATGAGTATAGGACCTAATTAGGGGGGTGGTTGGCCAAAAAGTCAATTTTTTCCTTTTTCTCGGGCCGACTTCATACATTCTTTTACTTATAGAAATAGTTATGCCAATCTTCTCGATAAAGAAGAACTAGTTGACCTATAAATTAAAGTTAATATAAACACTGTAGATGTTGAGGTTAGCTTATTAATTTTCTGTAAATCAAGATTATGAAGTGTTGAGTTTTGACAATTAAAATATTTTTTTTAGTAAATTTCATGTTTAAAGATCTTCAAAAAGGTTGAAACAATATCTTATTGACAACTTTTACTAGCAAAGAGTATTCATATGAAACACTTAAATTATAACCATTTTATCCTCTTCTATTTATGGCGAATCATTTTAAAATTTAAGAGTTAACTTTAATAAATTGTTGGAATATTTATTTGCCACACAAAGAGTAAAATCCAATGAGCGTGAAATCGAAACAAAAAGAAGACTGGATTTTCACTATATTATGAAAAAGAAAAATGGTTAAATGAGCTTTTTTAAACACGAAGATGTTTGATGTGATCCCAACAATAAAATCGTTGTAACTTTATTTTTGATAATGAGGACGAAATGGTCAAGAAGATGTTATTTTCAACTCACCCTATTTAGGCATCAATTTCTCCATTTGAAATCTAATTTGAAAACTTAAATTCTACAATCACTTGTATAAGTATATATTAAGCATCACTCCTTCGGTCATTCATTCTCATTGCATAGTAAACATCAGTATCAAAAATCTAAATCGACTATTAAATAAATATTTTAAAAAATATCTTTTATTTAATTTTTTTAAAAAAACTTAATTTTATAAGAATAACGTGTCATACCAAATCAAATATATATACAAATAAAAAAATGAAATGGATAGATAGAAAAAAGGCATAATACATAAATTGGACCTTTAACTTGGCTTCAAATTATAACTTTGACCTTTAACTTTGTAAGTGCACAAATAGGCACTTTAACTATCCAAAACTTAAACAAAAAAACACTCGGATCCTACCTGGCAAAATGCGTGAAATACACTCAAATTAGGCGCGTCAGATGTAAAAATTCAGGGGGTCAACAGTAAAAAAAGCATTGAAAGGACAATTAAACCCTTTTTATATTTTTTTCAACAATTTTCCCCTCTTTTTTGCATTATTTGTTGTTTACTGCAAAATGCAAGTGACATTTAATAAAAAATTTTGTTATTACGAAAAAAAATTATAATGAAGTTTTTTTTTGGCAAGAAGGAAAAAGGAACACGTGTAGTACTAATTTTTTTTTTTGAGATTCAATCAATTTTTTTTGTCTTTGAAATATTTCTAGCTGTTAATTACTGTAATTTATAGTACTTTCTAAGAAATTTTCAAATAATATATATTATTTCATTTGTCCGAATTTATGCGTCACCGGTAAAATTTGAAGAGTCAATCAGATCTTTTATATATTTTTATATCTTTTAAATATTTAAGTAATTAATTATCGTGATTTATAATATTTTATACAATTATTTAGTATGGTAAAAGAAATTTAAAAGAAACACGCATCCTTCAATAGTAAAATATGGGTCCCCCTTTTTTTTTTACAGGTTGACCTCCTGCCTGTATAGTCTTTTTTTGTCCAGAAGGAAAAAGGAACACGTGTCGACCCCAAGGTCCTCTCTATTCCCGCTTATTATATTATATACTAGTGATGAAGAGCCCGTGCTAATAATTAATTTAAAAGTTAATTTTTAATTGACGTTAAGTAAATAGTTTTAAATTTTAAATTTGAATAAATTTTATATATTTATATGGTATTAAATGTTCATGTTAACTCTAAAATGAATACATCACTATTAATAAAGCTTGAAGTTTAAAGAAAAATCCTTAAATGACCAAAATAACCCTTAAACTCAATTTTAATCACAAAAAGCATACATGTCCACGGTTTGGTGGCTGATTCATCAACTGATTTTTTGTATGTTTTTTCAAAAATATTTTAGTTGCTAATTTGCTATAATTTATAAAAATCATTAACGTCATTTTCGAATAACTTATAGTATTGTTAACTTTCAATAATATATATTGTTCCATCTATTCAAATTCATGTGTCACCAATAGAATTTCAAGAGTCAACAAAAATTTTAAAAAAATATATATATTTTAATTATGATTTATAGTACTTTTAAATATAACGTATAGTGTGTTTGTAGGCTCTTATTAGATTGAAAAAATATTTTAAATTAGTAATTATTGTAATTAATAGTGTATATTACGTAATTTTCAAATTTGTAATAAAAAATTTTAAATATTAAATCTAATAATTTATAGTATCTTAAATGTAATCTTTGAATACACATAAATTAAAAAAAGAAATAAGACAAATAAATTATAAATTGAATAATTGACATTTTCAAATATTAATTTACCACAAAATGAAAGTGAAGGAAGAAGTTGTGAGGCAAAAATAAAGAGAAAGGAATGGAATTAGTGAGGTGGGGTCCATATCCATTAAAAGAGATTGAAATAAATGCATGGCAAATTGAAAAGGTGTCAAATAGACAGGAAAACGGGCCCACATGCATTGAATAGTTGGCAGCCATTGAGTGGGTCACTAATACACGTGGCAGCGTTTGCATTTCACGCTTTTGGCTCCGAAAATCGCGTGTTTATTTATTTAAAGGTAGGATAGTTAAAGTGCCTATTTGTGCATTATGAAAGTTGGAGGTCAAAGTTAAAATTTGAAGCCAAGTTTAGGGGCCAATATATGTATTATGCCTAAATTTTATGGACAAAGTGCAAACTCCCTCTTACACCTTGTTTGGATGGTTGTTACCCATTCTATTGTATTGTATCATTAGTTCAAATACCATATTTGTTTTCTATTGGTACTTAAATTGTATTGTATCGTGTCATTCAAATCCATCATTAGGTAACAACGGAAAATTTCATTTTAGGTAAACAATCGATTTGGTGTAATCGCATTGTTACTTTAATATTTTATTTAACAATTATATTTCATTTTTTACTTTATCATCTCATGTAGCTCTATTCGGTATATTAATTTTAGGCATAATACATAAATTGGACCCTAAACTTGGCTTCGAATTTTAAGTATGACCTCTAACTTTCAAAGTGCACAAGTAGGCACTTCAACTATCCAATTCTTAAACAAAAAAACACGCGAATCCAACCTGGCATAACGCGTGATTGAGACGCAATTCAGGCACGTCAGAGGTATTTTTCGAGGCCCACAACAGTAAAAAAAAAAGAAGCGGAAATGACAATTTTACCCTTAATGAATCCCTTTTAAATATATCTTTATTTTTTTCAAATCAAAATCCCATTTTTCTTCTTCTTCTTCCTAATTCTAGTACTCAAGCTTTTTTTCTCTTTTTGTGCACAATTTCTGGTCGTTTTTTATGTAATGGCTTCTAATTTTTTTTGTCATTGTTGTGAGGCAGAAATAAAGAGAAGGGAATGGAATTAGTGAGGTGGGGTCCATATCCATTAAAAGAGATTGAAATAAATGCATGGCAAATTGAAAAGGTGTCAAATAGACAGGAAAACGGGCCCACATGCATTGAATTAGTTGGCAGCCATTGAGTGGGTCACTAATACACGTGGGAGCGTTTGCATTTCACGCTTTTGGCTCCGAAAATCGTGTGTTTATTTATTTAAAGGTAGGATAGTTAAAGTGCCTATTTGTGCATTATGAAAATTGGAGGTCAAAGTTAAAATTTGAAGCCAAGTTTAGGGGTCAATATATGTATTATGCCTAGAAAAAAGTGTAAAGCTTAATATCCACTTATTTAAAAGTTTAGATCCGCCTCTTTCGTCCAAACTCCAAAATAACCCAAACAGTTCTAGAAGTGTTAGTATTTGGTAACTTAAAAAAAACCAAAAAATAAAATAAATTAAATTAAAAACTTTTATCAAACAGCTGGGCCTCCCATCTTCCTCTTCCTCTGTTTTCTGCATGCTGTAATATAGCACGGCCAGCAGGGAAGAAACCGGCAGGCACCGGCACCGGCAACGTCACCGGCAGGGAAGTGTTTGGTGAAATCAGAAACTCAATCGTTAGATTTAGAGTAATAATAATAATTCTTCGCTTAGTATTTAACGGGAAGACAATTGTGGTTATCGGGTTTAATTCCTTCAATAAATTACAATAATCATGGCGGCTGCCGTGGTAGCAAATGGGAAGAAGAAATTAGAACAAAGAGGGCCTAAAATTGGGGTTATTAGTGGTCCGACCAATCCAATGGTGACACCTCTTTTAACAGATCTTTATCAGTTTACAATGGCTTATGCTTATTGGAAAGCTGGAAAACACAATGAACGAGCTGTGTGAGTGCCTGCATATTATTGATTTTCTATCAATTTGTCATGCATTTGATGTGTTTGATATAATGTGCAAGTACCGAAATTATTCATTTTGGCAGTTGATAGGGTCTAGAATTGTGATTGATCATTTTCTTCGTTGTTGAAAGATAATGATTTAATATGATCAATTGGTGAGGATCAACTTATGGAGATTTCTAACTTTTATTCATCTGATCAAGTGCCTTATTGAAAATACAAAACAGAGGACACACTTATTTATTAATCTTATATATGCATGCCTTATGACGGTTATGCATTAGTTCGGCTGAAACTTACACTTACAAATCGTTAAAATTATTCTTTTTATGTATATATTGTAGATGTTGAACTCCCTTTAGCCTTTTTCGTGTTTATTGCTTTCATATTTTGAACCTCCTTAGTGAAAATCCTTTCTCCGCCATTGCATTTCGACATAAGAGTATAATTCCATTTTGTGGGCCTAATATGTGGAAGTGTTTGGAGTAATGGCAGGCGATAAGATTCAAGCTCAAGATACATGATTGCTTCACCATGTTTATTTGATGAAGCAACTCGTATTTTATAGCGGGACATACTCATTTTTATGTTGATCAGTTTAATTTAGAGAAGGACACATTAATTTGTTTATTTTAAGTTTACAACAGTAATATTCTTATTCAGTTGTTGAGAAAATGTTTGTTCATCTAAAATCTAAGTGAGCCACTAAATGACTTGTCCCTATTTGGTTGAATATTTCAGGTTTGACTTGTATTTCCGTAAGAATCCATTTGGTGGTGAATATACAATATTTTCTGGGTTAGAAGAATGCATAAAGCTTATTGCTCATTACAAATTAACTGAGGATGAGATAGCTTTTATCAGGAAATCATTGCCCCCGTCGTGTGAGGTAGATTAATTATTGACAAAGTAAATAAACAGTTGTAATGTGTGTAAAAGTTATATTTGACGAGAGATAGAAATCTGCTTGTATCTTTTTGTCCTTTTAGGGTTATTCATTGTTTTTTATTATTATATTATATGTCATTATAGGAAACTTGTGCATGAATTCTGGAGGATTAATGTTTTTCTTGTTTCATGATACCTTAGTGAAATATGATTATGAGCGAAACCTGGGTAATTAATGAGATTACGTAACCATGAGTGGTTATGAGTGAACTGGTGGCTTATTTCTAGTCATTACTTTTATTCCAGATGTTGCTTTGGCAACATATCAAAGTGTATCTAGATAATTTTGGCAAAAGCTGTTGTCATCTAATTTATTTATCTTTCATTTGGCATATGTTCTTTTGCTGCTATGGATATTTGGTTAACATAAAGGAAAGAGGTTCATGCCATATCTGTACACTAAATTGTTATGAATATACTGAAGCTGTTATGGCAAGTCAGAGTAGTTGTAATTTTGTTCACATTGGTATCTAACCCCGCATCTTCTTTGAGAATTTTTTTTCTGCTCTCATGAACATACCATCTCATTCTGTTGAGAAAATCAGGCAGTGTTTCAATATCTCGTCTTCTAGTTGTTTGTGCCTTCATACTACCTTTTCATGTATGCTTGAAGAATTGTTTGACATACTTAGGGCTCTTTTGGTTGGGGAAAGGGTTATCCCGGGATTGTTATCTCACCCTCAATGTGGGATAAAAATAACACGACAATCCCGTGATAACTAATCCCTGGATAAGTTATCCCCTGACTTTATCCCAACCAAACATGGGATAAACTCATCCTAAAATTAATCCCGGGATTAATTGTCCCTTATCCCTCGTGACAAATGAGCCCTTACAGTCTTAAGTGCTTGAGAGATAAGCATCTGCTGATGGACTTTGTAGGATGCCTTCTATAACTACCTTCGAGGAATTGACTGTTCAGATGTTGAGATATTTTCTATACCTGAAGGTTCAGTTGTCTTTCCCAAGGTGCCGCTGATGAGGATTGAAGGGTCCATTGCTGTGAGTACCAACTAAACTATCCTTTTATTCATGCTTGTCCTTGAAAGATGCATTGTTCTCAGTATTGATGCTTCATGCATTTTCTGAAACTTCTGTTCGATTGTCATATCTGGGAATTGCTTTTGAATCTCGAAGGTGGTTCAATTACTAGAAACTGCACTTGTCAATCTCATAAACTATGCATCGCTAGTCACTACTAATGCAGCAAGACATCGTTTTGTTGCGGGAAAGTCCAAGCTGCTGCTGGAATTTGGGCTTCGAAGAGCACAGGTTTCTCTTCTTTCCTTCCAATAACTTGAAATTGGAAGGTCTCTCTTACAAATGATTCAATGATCTTTGCTTCTTCATGAGTAGGGTCCAGATGGTGGTATATCAGCTTCGAAATATTGCTATATGGGAGGATTTGATGCAACAAGGTGATTCCATACACAATCTATCCTGTTATAATCTGTTTCCATGAAATAGTGCAATTATCTATTCCTCTTTCTAAGTGAGATGCAGTTTTTAATTTCATTCGGACATCCTTTTTATTTTGAAATAAAATAAAAGTTTAAGATTCTTAGAACCAGTTAGTCATAAATGTTATTAAAAAAACAGCTTGTCATAACAGTACAAATGTGTCACTGTACAACTGGTATGATTGAGAACACACTCAATTGGCCAGATTCTTGAACAAGTAGTTTGCAGATAGTCACCAACAACAACTACGCCTCGAATGTGTTTTCTTGTCAAGTGCTTTTAAATTCCAAAATTTTCTTTTATAAGTAAAGGATGTTCTCTCTTCTAGAAACAAAAGTGTATGTTTTCTGAAAGGATCAGTAAACTGGGAGGTCATGAAATTTGACCTTAAAATGGAGAAGATCACATGAAGCTAGACGCTAGAGTAGGCTCTCGATAAGGATAGTTGACATCAATTGAGATTATTCGAACATTTCATTTACTTTGAATTTCTTTTCCTTTTGCTTTCCAGATGGGCTGAGCTTTCGTCAATACGATGAATATGTATCTCTTGATAAGCAACTCTTAACTTCTCAGATTATTTTTTACTGTTGCATTTGCTGAAACATAAAGTTTTATTAGCTTTTTATGTTTTATTAAGAATAAACTGTTTTTTCGTAAAACCTAGAGTATCGTGGTACTTTTACCCTATTGTTTGGAGATTTAATTGTTTATCATATTAATCTAGCCATGAGGATCATATATCTCTTCAAAAACTTTATTTGGCAGCAATGTGGCAGCTGGGAAGTTATTTGGGATCCCGCTCCGTGGAACACATTCCCATGCCTTCGTTAGCTCATTTATGGTAGGTGGAACCTTGCAACAGCTTTTCCTTCTGTGTAATATAAGTCACACTTTTAGTATAAGTGTTTCTAAAGTTTGTTTGTCCCACAGAATTCACAATGATCTTTGCTTACATACTTGGGATGTTCAAGGATCATAACTGAAAGGTGTCTTAGAATTATCAAGAAACAATGGGGTCGTTTGGTATGGTGTATAAAAGAATAGTACTGAATAGGGTGTAATACATGCATTATTTTCTCTAATACCTCCCTACCAAACAACCCCTAAGGGGTCGATTTGTTGCTGATTTGATTTATGCATGTATTACTAATACATTTCCAAAACTCTCTCATGCCATTTTCTCTGACCCCACATCCACCCCACCCCTGCAAAAGTTGATTACTATTTTCTACTTACTATTCAAACACTAGAAAATCCAAACACACCCTAGATCTTCTAATTTCATCTTTTTACATAAATTCTAGTTTGCTTTGATTCAAGATCGAAATTAATTATTATATTACTGCTACTGTTATTTTGGTAGGTGCAGATCATCATTTAGATCTTTTAAGTATTTTATTTAGATGCACACATACCACTTTACCTTTAACATATCTTCTTATGGTGATAGAAATAAGCCCAATTTGGATATTGGAAAAGAGGGTTTTTGGTTGCTAAGGAAATGTATATTTCGTAAACTATGTAATAGAGGCTTGGGATTGAGGTTTAATTGATTTTGATTTGAACTCTGTAATAGAACCTTTGATTGTTGGAAGGGGTTGTCAAACAAAGATTTTCATTTGCAGAAATTATATTTGAAAAGGTTGAACAGACGTGCTTTCTTTGTAGGTCCTTGTATGCATAAGTGCATACATTCATGTAAATATGTGATTGCTTGGAGAACAAGTATACTGCAGTAACATATACTTGCAGCACTTGACAATTTTACTCATGGATACTTGTGACAATGAGATAATCAAAACATCTTTCTATAAGTTGAAGTAAAATCCACTTTATGTGAGTTCGAATTCCGACTTATGTGTTTCTTGTTCTCCATAAATTAAAGCAATATTCACTAGCTTTAGCACTTCTTATTAAGTGAGTTGCAGTGGCGGAGCGAGGGTAAACAAGGGGATTCAAAAAAGAAAAGAAAAATTGTGCAAATGGGATTCAATGACTTATGTATATACAAAAAAAATAATCATGTTTACCCTACTTACATAGTATAATTTTTCAACAAAGGGGGTTCGTTCAGTTAACCCCCTTACACCCCTCTGCCTCTGCCCTTGGTGAGTTGTCAGCGGTCAACTAGTGAGGCCTGGTCTTTAGCATGGTTTCTAATTTAAAGGTTTAGTTTTTTCTATTGATTGGTTATGTCTCGTTCATCTTGTTAATAATGAAGATAAACAGAACGGTTATATAAGGACTATCTAAATTATAATTGGTCTCTAGATGCTCAATACTTGGGATTTTATGCTCACTGTCTTGCCCTGGATCAAAGTTATATGTTCTCTGATTTTATCTAATATTATGCAGAGCCTAGATGAGATCACTGAGAGATCACTTACACACCTTGATAGTCCCAAGGTTTGTAAGGATTTTGTTTGTCTAGTGATGACGTGGCTTACTAAATTAAAGGTATTATTTCGCCCTTTTAATTTAACTGCTGTGTGCTTGTTGGCTTATTATTGTCTACTTCAATCTCCAGCCATCAGATTTTGTTCTAAATTATCCATTTAGTTCTGAGTTTGCACTTTGAGCATGTTTTGTTCCGTACTTTCAAGTATCCTTTATGTTTTGGCTTCACCTTTTCATTCCTCCCTATTAATTTTACTCGGGGGGCTTCTAATTTTCTAGTATGACCACTCAAAATTTGATTAATCTAGGAAGTGTTGGGGGGTTTATCCAATTCAGGTGGTTGTCCGGATGTAAATGCTTATCACTCTTTACCTGTGTAAGCCCGTTGCATAAGGGTAATAGGTTGTCTTATGTTTGGACCTAGTCACGAGTGAGTTCACCTTAACCTAAGTGGTAGCTTGAAGTGGCAGGCAGCTTAGTGGATAAGTGGCTAATTGCTTACTTGTGATCCCAAGGTGTGATTCCCATTTGAGAGAGACTTTTTGAATTTCAGCTTTAGTCCAAATACCATTTCAAGCGGCTGTACAGTCACTGGTAGCATATCATTCTAGATCGTGCCAGTTAATCATCATTCCCCATTTGATTTACCTACTCTGGAAACAACTTAGGTGTCAGAATAAATGATAAAGATCCTTACATATTACATAGGAGTTGATTACGTGGAAACATTTTTTTATTTATTGCAGCTTAGCTTTCCTTTTTTATATAACCATGGTATCCGAGCCAACGCGGGGTCTCGTCTTATTCCACAGATATCTGCCACCTCCCACTTGCAACAGGTTGGTACCAAGTAACTCTATCTACCAAGGCTAGGACAGATGGGAAGAAATCACCTAGTGTTTTTGTCTCTGCTGGGATTGGGATTTAAACATGAGACCTTGTGGTTCTCACTCCTTCATTGACCACTAGGTCACACCCTTGGGTGCTTTATTGCAGACTTATCTTGGACTCCCATAATAAAGCTGAAAGCCGAAAAAAAGATCTTCTATCATCTGGGTGTATTCTTAGTTCCTGCAGACATCTCTATTTATATCCGTCTAATTTAATTGAAGGGACTGCCTAATTTTTCCTGTCCTCCCTTCCTCTATTAAAGATTACAAACAATTGATTCTTAATCAAAATTGAGCAACTCTCAAATCTTGAAAATCTTCAAATTTTAAGTGATGAAGGTAGTTGATGCTTCTTCTCTTCCATTTTGAACTTGGATATCATTGTTATGATGACTGTGCTATCTTCAGCGGTCATCCTTATTAGGTGGAATTTTCAATGAGACAAACCAAAGTGAATTAGCAGCTTTCGCCTCATATGGGCTCGCCTTTCCTGGAAGCTTTTTGGCCCTTGTCGATACTTATGATGTAAGTGCAATTTTAGATACTTCTGCCACTGCTTTATTTTGTTTTTGGGATACTTGACCTTTTATCTGTAAACTATGCATGTCTAGTTTAATGAGCAAAAATTCTTCGTAATTTGCGTTAATATCCTAAAATAAGGAAATCTACTTTGAAAGAGAAGGGAATAATCATGGTATCCAGTTGTCAGCTCAGGCATAATCTTCAGCTTGCAGGATTTTAGTTTCATAGTGTATTTCTACTCTGTTCTGATAATCTGCTCTGGCACATACTTACTTTCTTATTGACCATCTATAACTTGTACTTTAACAGGTCATGAGAAGTGGTGTTCCAAATTTTTGTGCAGTTGCTCTTGCACTTAATGATTTGGGGTAAGTGCTTCCCCTGACAAGTTCTATTTTGTGTCATCTACTTCATATGATGCTTATTAGATTAAAAGGTATGCTGCTGAATATTTGATGATATATTGAACCTATGGAAAAGAGATGCCAGCTCGAATTCCTAGTGCTTTTTTGTTAATCTGATCTTGTCAAGCTTTGTAGTGTTTATGTTTTCCTTTTTGTGTTCTCTCCCATTTATGAACTAGCTAAGAATAGGGCAGAATAGAAGGGAAAGATCCATATAAGTGATAGCTACTAGTTGAGGATAAGCTTAAGACTCGTATGCAACTTTTATAACTTATAGTATCATATATATATATATAATTTAACGTATTTTTAACTTTTATTTTATTCATTATGATATGAGCTTAAATGACGAAATGAGAATACATTTAGCCGACCCCGACTTATTTGGGACTGAGACATAGTTGTTGTTGTTTGTTGTATTTGTCTTGAAAGAGGTCTCACCAAAATCTGATATTGTAGGCTCCCTGCCTCCCACAGACCCACACCCCCAAAAACAAAAGGCCCAAAAAAAACTACAGAAAATAAATAGCTGAAAAAAAACAAAAAGGAGTTGAGAAGCTTAGATATCTGAGGCCTTCTTTCCCTTGAGCACATTGTGTTCATGTTATGGAAAATTATCCACTTTTTTTGGTCGACAGAGCACAGTTTTTTTCTTAACTTAGCATGATTACCTCCTTTTACTGTCCAAATTAATAGTTCTCTCCTCTAAGGATTTATTATTTTAGTTGAAACCATCATTTGTTTGACCAAGTCTGTTTCTACTTGATGTATTTTTTATTTTCTACTGTAGTTATCAGAATATGTCCATGCCTTATTATGTTTGTCGTTTTTATGTTATATTTACAGGTATAGAGCAGTTGGCGTTAGATTAGATTCTGGTGATCTTGCTTATCAGTCATGCGAAGCCAGGAAATTCTTTCAAACTATTGAAAAAGAGTTTGGAGTGCCTGGTTTTGGAAAGATGAACATCACAGCTAGCAATGACCTTAATGAGGAAACATTGGATGCGCTAAAGAAACAGGTTAGAGCACCAGGAATCCAACACACGCGTAACATGCAGAATCCTGTCCTATGTCATCGACCTCTATAATGTCTCCCATTGCCATAAAAGTTTTCTTCAATAGCTGTCTTCTTGCGCTTCACTTTGTTATAACTTGGTCCAGCTTCATTATTTCCATTTGTTTAACTATGCGTGTGTGTGTGTGTGTGTGTTTATGTATATATATGTCAGTAGTTCTCATCAATATCCTCATGTTGCTTATAATGCTATAGAGACAACTCCTTAAAATGTCAAATATTTCTCGAGTGTGGTGACTTTAAGATCTCTTCGTCTAAATTTTGGAAGTAAACTGAGCTAAATATTATGTAACAAGCAAACCATTAAGTAATGAAAATATATGGCGGTTCGCGCTCATGTCAGTTTTAGCACTCAAGAATCGACCAGGAAAAAAGGATGCAAAAATACAACACTAAACTATGCTAATAAAATTTAGTTCTTTGCATTACCTCCTAGTGTATGTTCATTGTTTTAAAAGGCTGAGGCATGAGTATACACTTCCGACTAGATACTTTTCATTCTTATAACGTCAAATTCTTGAGTCTATAGCTTGAATTCATGCATTTGTATGCACTGCCTTCCGTTGTTTTCCCTTGATTGAAAGGTAGATATTTGACTTAATTCCTAAACAGGGACACGAGGTTGATTCTTTTGGTATTGGAACACATTTGGTTACCTGTTACGCACAGCCCGCTCTAGGTGTTGTTTTCAAGTTGGTTGAGATAAATAATCAACCTAGGATCAAGCTTTCTGAAGATGTTACAAAGGTTTGCTGAAGCTATGCTCTCTTCTCTGGGCATTTCAGATCCAATATGGATTTCATTCTCTTTCCTCTTTATTCCATGATATGGACGTTCATTCTGTTTCCTTTCTAGGTCTCCATTCCATGTAAAAAACGGTGTTTCAGATTGTATGGGAAGGAAGGCTACCCCCTTGTTGACATAATGACCGGTGAAAATGAACCACCTCCTAAGGTACTTTGATTTATTTTATTTTATCAGTACATCCTAAGGCATTTTATCAAGCTTGTCATGTCTAGTTCTTAAGTGGCGTTCCATATGATTTATCTGGTGTATATAATGGTTAACAAAGAAACATTGACAGGTAGGTGAACGAATTTTGTGTCGTCATCCGTTTACTGAATCTAAAAGGGCATATGTTGTTCCCCAACGTGTTGAGGAGCTTTTAAAGTGTTTTTGGCCTGGAAGTTCAGGTGAGACTTGTTATCTTTCGAGTTATATTAATTATTAAGCTGGAAAATGTTTTTTAAAGAATGTGACCCTATAGTCTTGGAATTCCTAAATACATATCGGGCTGTCTTAGCTACGGTTTGTGAGTTACAAGTTATTTGCAAAGTGACTAGGACTTCAAACTGCTACATTTTTCTTTCATGAAGACATTCTTCAATCATCTTGTATGGAGGTTTAGGCATTAAAAACAACCAAGCCATTTAAATTGTGTTCTTTTTTTCCCAGACTGGGGGGAGGTTGACGATTTAGATAAAGAAAAGTAGATTGTACAATTTTTTCCTCGTCTCGTTTCCACAATAAAAAACAAGAAAAACAGTTGTTGAAATGTAAAAATTCTGCAGCACTTGTTGGCACAAAGTCTACTTCAGTTTTATCAAGTATTCCAAGGGCAGATACACCTTGCCCCGACCGATGTCATGTGACACCAGTTCGTATATATAGATAATATATAAGCAAAATGAATGATATTGGGTATAAATATAACAAAAGAGACCACTTTCCATCATAGTGATCTTAATTACTTGTTCACTTCTGCACAAAATTTTGGAGTGTTGACACTGCTTACATAAAATTTTGTATACGCCACTAAAATGATATGTGAGTGAAAATGGTCGATGAGTCTATGCATCCAATATTGAAAAAAAATTGATGTTGATTTTTATCATTTCTGAAGATAAAATACGAGAAGATTTGCCTCCATTGAAGGACATAAGGGAACGGTGTATTGAACAACTGGAGCAGATGCGGCCAGATCACATGAGAAGACTGAACCCAACACCATACAAGGTATGCTGATGAGAAATCTAGTACATATTCGAGTTATAGTTTTTTTTCACTGCTCAGCATCTAAATGTGGGTTCAACTGAACTTTGTTAGTTTTCCTTGATATTTTTCTGAGCAGGTTAGTGTGAGCGCAAAGTTGTATGATTTCATCCATTTCCTCTGGCTCAACGAAGCCCCGGTTGGGGAGTTGCAATGATCGATCAAATGAAGGAATATAATTTTTGGAAGATTCTTTTTGCGCAGCATAGTTGGTTCGAAAAGGATCTTCTAATAACATGTACATCTTTTTTCCTTTTCTTTTCTTTTTTTCTGGGCAGTGGAGTATCTAAGATATCTTGGATATTTATATTATGAATAGAATAAAAGCCAGTTTTTTCCCCTTTGTTTTCTCTTATAAATAAGAAAGAGAAATAAAGTAATTGAAATATAAAGCAGATGTAGGCTATGTTGGCTTGACCCTGATGACATATGTGATCGAGGTTGATGAAATTCCTTCAAGCTCAACAATGGAGTAATTGGAGAAAAGAAAAATACACAAAGGAAGAGAGAAAATATATTGCTTCTCTATTTCTGAAAGATACTAAACTGTATTACAATTACAATGTAGTGAGTATATATAGGATTATCTAATCTACTCTAAGCTAACATTTACAGCTCAGCAACAACTGATTTACAGCTCAGCAACAACTGACAATTACTCTGCACTAATCGACTCTAACACACCTTTTGACAGAATAACTAACTCCTAACCACCTTTAACTAACTTTTAAACTAACCATTCTATTTCTCAACACTTCCCCTCAAGCTAGGCAGTGTGAATAAGTCCAACACTCCTAGCTTGCGCAAGAGATAGTTATGTTGTGATCCATTCAATGCTTTTGTGAACAAGTCTGCTTCTTGATCCTTAGAAGTTACATATATTGCCTTTATTGTTCCATCTTGAATTCTCTCTCGAATGAAATGTAGATCTATTTCAATGTGTTTGGTTCTTTCATGAAATATGGGATTTGCAGCAATCTAGATTGCTGCCTTACTGTCACTAAGCAACTTCACTGGAGTCTCAACATCAACCCTTAGTTCTTTGCAAATTCCCACCAGCCAAAGTATTTCTGAAATAACTGCAGTCATGCTCCTGTATTCTGCCTCTACTGCACTTCTAGAAACAATGCATTGTTTCTTTGATTTCCAGAATTCCCTAGTTTCATCACATATCCAGTGATGGACCTTCTTGAGTTAGGGCACCCTGCCCAATATGCATCACAAAATGCATTTAGTTGTGTTCCCTTTCTTAGCTTAGAAGTATTCCCAAACCTGGTTCATTTTTCACATATCTCACCACCCTGTAAGCTGCATTTATATGGGATTTCTTAGGTCAATGCATGAACTGACTGAGCATGTACACGGCATATGTAATATCTGGTTTGGTCATAGTTAGATACAATAATTTTCCAACTAGCCTTTGGTAAGGACCTGGATCTTCTAACTTGTCATCACTTAGATCTCCCACATATTCATCATATTCCATTGTGGTTAGTTTTTTATTGCATTCCATTGTAGTATTCACTGGTTGGACCCTGCCAGTCCCAAGTCTGTGATTAATTCTACAGCACACTTTCTCTGATTCATGAGTATCCCTTCATGTGACCTAGCTATCCCAATCCCAAGAAAGTACTTCATTTCACCTAGGTCCTTGATTTTAAACTTCTTCTGCAGTGCTATTTTTGCTTCCTAATTAATATATGATCATTTCATGTGATGAGCAGATCATCAACATAGACTAAAATGATTACTATGATGTCTCCCACCTTCCTTGTAAATAAGGAGTAATCAAAATAGCTCTGTATGAATCCTGAATTGGTTAAAACCTCAACAAGTTTTTAAGTTCCATTGTCTTGACGCCTGTTTGAGCCCATAATGGGATTTGTGCAGTCTACATGCTTGCTGGCAACTATTCTCCCCCTGACGGACAAATCCAGGTGGTGGGATCATGTATACCTCCTCAACCAAATCACCTTGAAAAAAGGCATTGAACACATTCATTTGGTGTAAACACCAGTGATTAGAAGAAGCTAAAGCATGCACTAATCTAACAGTGACCATTTTGACTACAGGAGAAAAAGTCTTCTGATAGTCCAATCCCTCTTTCTAGTTGTAGCCCTTGGCTACTAGCATTGCCTTTGTACCTCTCAACTTCACTATCAGCCATGTCCTTCACTTTGAAAACCCATTTATAACCTATTGGAGCTTTTCCGGGGGGGAGATCAACAATGGACAAAGTATGATTGTCCTGTAATGCAACTAGTTCCAGGTTCATAGCAGCAACCCACATAGGATCTGTGACAGCTCATCATATGATTGAGGCTCCCTGATGGGAGTGATTTTGGACAAGTAGGACTGATAGACAGGACTAAGCCTGGCAGTGGATAAGTAAGATTGCATGGGGTAAACACAATAGCTAGAAGTAGGAGCTAAGTAGGGTTTACCACATACATATTCTTGCAACCAATTCGGAGGAGCTTTGGTCCTTGTGGACTTTCTGTGAGGGACCAAAGAAGGTGCAGTATTGGTAATATCTGAAGATGATTCTGTTTGTGGAGAGGGAGAAGTCATGTTGGTGGTCATCTGAGGAAATGTGATAGGAGCAGGGTCAGGGCCTATTTGAGATAGGACACCATTGGGGAACACCTGCATTTTTTGTTGTCTTTGATCATCTGAAAAGGAAATAAGTTTTCTCTGAAAGAAACATCTCTGCTCACAAAGAAACTGTTAGTAAGCAGGTTATAAAGTCAATATCCTTTCTGAGTGGAAGAATAACCCATCAATATGGTTGCAATTGACCTTGGTGAAAACTTATCCCCACCAAAGATGCTGCACCCATTGGTCCTCATGTGTTGCAATGAAGGGACTTAAGCATAGAGAACTTCAAAGGGTGATTTCCCAGATAGGACCTGCATAGGCAGTCTATTCATCACATAGACAACATTCAGGACACACTCATTCCAGAACTTCAAGGGTGAAAAACCTGACAGCCTAATATAGCTCTAGCAACCTCCGAGATGTGTCTGTGTTTTCTCTCCACCAGCCCATTTTGTTGTGGTGTGTGAACACATAAGCTTTGATGGATAATACCAGATGAACTAAACAAATCTGTACAGCTAGAATTAAAAAATTCAGTCCCATTGTCACTTCTAAAAATTCTCACATGTTCATTGAATTGAGTTTTGATTAAGGCAAGGAATTGCTTTAGTATAACAATGACATCACACTTCATTCTCAACATATACACCAAAGTCATCCTACTACAATCATCCACTAAAGTGAGAAAGAATCTACAACCATTATGACTAGGTACCCTATATGGTCCCCAAACATCACCATGCATGGTGTGAAAAAGTTTATTGCATCTATTATAACTAGAAGGAAAAGGCATTCTGGTTTGCCTAGCTAGTGGGCAAGCATTACATGGCTGAACCTCATCCCAGTTATTTTTAAACTTCAGAGAAGAAACCTGCTTCAGCATTCTAGCTAGAGCATGTCCTAGCCTTCTATGCCAAATTTTCATGTCTACAAAACTTCCTACTTTGTTGTTGTCACTATAAACCATACTTGCTGATGTCAATTGATATTTATTCTCCTCCTTCTTTATGGGCAATTGAATATTGTATAAACCATCAACCTCCCTACCAATTCCCTTCACCACTCCACTGTGAAGATCCTGCATTACACAGAGATCAGGAAAGAAAGTGACAACACACTTTAAATCTTTGGTCAATTTGGAAACTGGATAAGAGGTTATGTGTAAAATCAGGAATACACAATACATTGTTTATAGTGTGATCAGTGTCTAGTCTGCACCTTCCCACACAAGCTACTTCTAGTGTATTACCATCTGGCAAAAAAACTCTCTTGGTGTTCTGATAATTTATTTGACAAATTCCATTCAGTATGTCTTTATTGTAGACCATATGATTAGTGGCCCTCGAATCTATAATCTACTTTCTAAAGGTTTCACTATTAGTAGCCATAAATACTTGAGTCATACTTGCCATCTGCTTGTCTGAATCAGTTGATACCTCTTTGTGAAGCATCTTTAAAATCTGATCATATTGTTCCTGAGTGAACATCATGCCACCTCCTTGGTTGGAACTTTGGGAAGATTGATCCATTTCATTTGAGTTCCTGCATTGGAAAGGATCATGACTAGTAGTTTTTGTGACTGCATTTGCTGAGTAGTGCTTCTTCTTAGGTTTGGAGTCTCTAGGAAATCCATGTAGTCTATTACATCTCTCTCTTGTATGTCCCTTCCATTTACAATAATCACAGTACAAATGCCTATTTTTGCCTTTGTAAGTTCCCCTTCCATAAGGACCAGGAGGTCCAGGAGATCCAGATGAGCCAGCTTGACTGTATTTCCCTAAAGAACCTGGTTCAAAACTTGAGGGCTAATTAGATCCTCTTTTGTTGCTGAATAGAGCTATGCCATCTGATCCTTTAGACATTTTCCCCAACATTTTCCCCAAATTCCTCTGGCTTTCCTCAGATACAAGCATGGTATATGCCTTGTTGATATTGGTAATAGGTATCATCATTAACATTTGACTCCTAGCTTGTGAATACGTTTCATTTAAGCCTGTCAAAAATTGTAAAAGTCGTAGATACTGATAGTGCTCAGCATACTTCTTAGATTCTGGACGTTCACATCCAGGACAGGGTACTAAGGAATCAAATTCTACCCACAAATCATTTAGCTTAGTGAAATAGCTCGAAATAGAGGATATTCCTTGTGTTAGTGATCCAATTTCTCTGTGCAACTGAAACACTCTAGAACCATTCTCCTTATCGAACCTCTCCTTCGAGTCATTCCATACCATACATGCACCAGAAGCATAAGCTACACAACTAAGCAGATCTTTGCTCATTGAGCTCATGATCCACAATAGAACTATGGCATTAATTTTCTCCCATAGATCGTGAAGTGAGGATGGAAATTTTTTCATTCGTGTGTCTCCCATCAACTAATCCCATCTTACTTTTACCTAAAAGCCCAATTCTCATAGATTTGCTCCACAGAGCATAATTTTCAGGACCAATAAGCTGAAAAGAAATGAGGGAACTACCTGGTGTGTCGCATCCTTGCAGAGGATGATTGGCATCAATTGTTGTAGTCATTCCAGTACTGCTTTCAGTGTTATTCTCCTCATTCATCACCATTGTTGTTAACTGAAGAATCGTGAAGATCTCAGTTGGTCAGATCACAATCGAAACTAAAACTTAGAAATTCCAGGACATGAGCAATTCAATTCATCACTCCTGCTCTGATACCATGATGAAATTCCTTCAAGCTCAACAATGGAGTAATGGAGAACATAAAAATACACAAAGGAAGAGATAAAATAACTTCCTTCTCTATTTCTGGAAGATACTAAACTGTATTACAATTACAATGTAGTGAGTATATATAGGATTATCTACTCTACTCTAAGCTAACATTTACAGCTCAACAACAACTGACAATTACTCTTCACTAACTGACTCTAACACACCTTTTGATAGAGTAACTAACTCCTAACCACCTTTAACTAACTTTTAAACTAACCATTCTATTTCTCAACAGAGGTATCTACATGAGCACATATAGACATTACGAGGTAGCTTCTCAGGAGTTGATTGCTAAGAATTAATACCTCAATAATCTATATATATAATAAAGGAGAAATATAGACAAGGTGGTGTGGCACCTCTTTATTGCCTCCATTTGCATTTATCTTTTTTTCTCCTTTTTTGGCCTTTTTAAAAAAAAAATTTAATTATTGTAGTGTAAAATTAATTACTTAATTTATTACAAATAAATATTTTATTAATGGATGAACATTTACAATAAAAACTCTTCACAATTTTTTTATTTGTTTGTCTCACTTCTAATAATAAAATGATAATACTTTCTTATATTTTATAAGTATTTTTTTAATATATTCACTAGGAGTTATTACCCATGACTTATTTCTCTTTAATTTTAATTTTTAATAATATTCATAACTCTCATAATTTTTATGTCCATAACCTCCAAACTTAAATTTGTAAGTTTGTGATGTCTTATGGTATTCCACTATTTTGCCTATAAATTCATACTTAGTTTCATGAAGATTCATATTCAAGATTACCTTTTCACTTCTTCATCAAATTGGTTTGTAAATGAACTAACATGTAAAAAAAAAAAAGTACATGAAGGTAAGAAATATTTCATTCTCAAGTCTTTATTCTTTCATTTTCTCTATTTTGTCTATATAAATTAATATTTGATTTGTGAATGAACTAACATGTAACAAAAAAGAAGTACATGAAGGTAAGAAATATTTCATTCTGAAGTCTTGATTTTTTCATTTGTTCTATTTTTTCTATATAAATTCATATTTAGTTTCATGAAGATTCACATTTAAAAATTATCATTTCTCTTCTTCATCATATTTGTTTGTGAATTATCTAACATGTAACAAAAAAGAAGTACTTGAAGGTAAGATATATTTCATTCTCAAGTCTTTATTTTTATTTTTATGTACTTGGACATGCTTTCTTAATATTTTGTTCATGTATGTATTATATATCATTCACCAAGCAAGTATAATTAAAAAAGGCCTAACCCATCGGTGGCCCCCTAAAGTTGGCACCAATTTTCACTTAGACACCTTAACTAAGATTTGTTCATTTTGGACACCTCATGTAATGTCCCGTTGTATCATTTTAACACTTTTTACTGACATGGCATAGTGTGTGTAATACACTCAATATCAGCGCGTGAAAGGCTTATTTAATCATTGTTTTCAATTTTCTTCCTCATTTTTCTGCCATCATCTCTCAAACTTGAACTCCAATGATGCAATCCAGATTGCCTCAAGGCTATCCATTCACCAACTTCAATGCTTTGATCAAGTGTTCACAATGATGGAGGTTGTTGGGCATGTATGGATGCCAAGAAGGGAGTTCCATGCCTTGCATCGTCACATATGCACCTTGAAGGAGCTCCCAGTTGGAGAACACCATGCTTGGATGATAGTTGAAGCGTGGGAGGCCTAATGAAGCAAGGAGGATCAAGTGAAGAATGTGCTCCATTCGGCAAGCTGAAGATCACTTCGGCGACTCACCAAAACCCTTTGGCGAGGGTTCCAGGATCGCCAACTGATCCAATGAGCTACAAGAGAAGGCTGCCCATTCGGCGAGCATGGAGGACATTCGGTGTATCTCCCATTGACTCCCAGACCACCGAAAGTTGCAGTAGCTATCAAAAGAGGGAGCCAAGGTGAAGTGCACATCACCGACTGGTCGGCGACTCGCCAAGAGAATTGGGCGAGCCCAACTTAGCTCACCCATTGGTCCATTTTGGGTCACTTTTGGGCCCATCTATGTAATAATGCTCTAAACTATAAATAGGTGTCTTAGGGTTCATTTTAGTCAGACTGATTTTGAAAATTGTGGTTATAAACCTGAAACTCTTTGTGTGAGTGTTGAAAGCTTGGTATAAGCTTTTGTTGAACCTTGTTAGAAACGTTGGTTGCTTGGGATATTGATTCCCTTGAGGTCATCGTAAGAGTTAGGTGGTCTTGTTGGATTAACGAAGTGAGATTTTTGGGTTTAACATACCCATAGGTTGTTCTTTGTTTTCTCTTTTTGTGTCTATCTATTTATCCGGATTAGGTGCTTGTTAGGATCGAAACTGGAGGTTATTAGATTTAATACATCCTTTAGTTGCCAATTGTTTCTTATCTTGTGTCTCTTCTTCTATCTTTCTTTTGTTTCTGCATCGATTGTAGTTTCTATTTTTAGAATTACATCATTTGGTATCAAAGCTAAGTCTAGATTCGTTCCTATGATTCTAGTCTTGGGGTTTTGTTACAAAAAAAAGTGTTCAACTCATTTTTGAAGAAATTCTGAAATGGGTCTTGTTGATTTGAGTCTTCTTTGTAGTTTCCAAGGTTAGATTAGTATTCCCTAACCTCATTTGAGTCTAGGACTGAGATTTGAAAGGGTTTGGTTCACTATTGAAGAAACCACCAATGGAGGTTGAAGAAGCTTTGAAGAAGACAAAGTGGGTTTTGAAATCTGAAAGTTTTGGCAAGGAATTTAGTGCTAAAAAGTATTGGGGTTTGTTCCCTACATCTAGGAGAGCTTGTATCTCGAATTTCGTGAAATTTCGAGCTAAAAATTTAGAGGATTTTATTTTGGGTCTTCATCTTGTTCATAGTATTCTTGAAGTTCTTGAAGAACATTGAAACCTTCAAGGAGAAGTGTCGCACCCCTATTTCGAACCGGTCGAAACAGTTCACAACATAATATGGATGTCACTCTGATTTAAAAAAAAAATATTTTTGTATTAGAGTCGCCACCTAAATTTTAAAGAAAATATTAGGAAAACCATTTTTTAAACATGTACACTCTGTTTTGATTTGCGAAACCAGTGAGATTCTGAGTAAGAGTTTTGGTTACTCGAGGGGAAGGTATTAAGCATCCCTCGGAGCCTATCCGAAGATAGTTTTTAAACTCAATTTAGGAAAATAATTAGGAAAATTTGTTCATTTATTTGATTTAAAATCAATGATAAGTAAATTTTATTAGTTTAAGAAAGGATTAAAATACAAGGTACGACATATATATGTCTATTAAATAAAATTAATAATAGTATATTTATCATACGGTAATAAATAAATGTACTAAAATGGATGACAATTTGATATGTTGAAAAATATAGATGTGTCCTATATAAATGTATCAAAATAAATGTTGAGTTTAAAGGTACAGTAGTATGTGTGAAAAGTGAGGTAAAATGAAATAAATAATAATGATACTAAATTATATAAAAAGTTTGTGATTTTAAATGTGTTTATTAAAAAGTATAGTTTATACATGTAAGTTATTTTAAAAAACAAAAACATATGAACGTTTATTATTCTATTTACATGTAGGAATAAATTGGCGATAAATTAGATGTAGTAAAATAACATGTATATTAAAGTGTAGAGATTTATAAATTATAAAAAATAAATAAGTAACACTTGTAAAAAGGATAGTAGATAAAAGTAATAGGTTATGTGGAATAATATAGAATTTATACCTTTATGTGCATGACGTGTATATGTATATACCTTGTATTTTGAACTTGTTGGCATATTTAAAATCTTGAAATAGCATGTTAATAAATTAAAATATTTTAGAAATATTTGATTAAAAAAAAGTAAGAATAACCAATATATTTTATAAAGGGGTGATGTAAAGAGTATAAAAATAGGCCTAACTATTGGGACTTATTCAATAGTTACATTTATTTTGTTAAATATATAAGCCTACTTCCCTACTTATTTTCTTAAAAATACGTATGTCTAAAGGTGAATATCTTCGTCATAAGTAATTTCTAAAGATAATTATTCTAGTCTTTAAACTAGTTTCAAATTTATTTGGAGATCCTAAGCAATGAGTAGGCCTAAATAAATATTATTTTAGCCCTTTTGAAACTTCATTTGGAAAACTTTTAAGACTATAAGCCCCTCTTTTCAACTTAAAGGGACTCGAAGAATGTTATAAGTAAAAATGCTAACCCCTTTTTAAAGAAAATATTTTTTGTATCATTGTTCTAAAAGTGTTTCAACTAAATTCATAAACAAATAATATTAGCTCACATAAATAATCTTCAAAATAAAAGAAAAGCAATATATCAAAACTTGTAAGCGAATGTTAGCCAACATATCAAAACAACATAAGTAGGACAACGTAAGAAAAGCTAAGAAAATATTGGACTCCTAATTTGCGAGACTCCAAGCATTGTGACGATCCTAAATGTTGTTGGCCTAATATTTTAGGCCAATAATGAGTTCCAAAGTAGAAACTCCAGCCCTCCGATTGTACATGAAACACAAGAAAAATAAAGAGATAAAGATTAGTAACTAATTAAATGGTACAATAATGTAAATATGCAAACAAATGTGGACACACATCGAACAGTGACGTCAATTACTAGAAGGCCAAATGTTTACGCAGTTTGTGGTGACCTTTCAAGGTCTGCAAAAGTTGCATGCAGTTTGTGGTGACCTTTCAAGGTCTGCCAAAGTTGCCCTTTTTAAAAAAAAAACTTACATAATGCTTACACAGTGTGAGAGAAATCAAATCAGGCATGGTAAAATATATAAGCTAATCACCCTTAGCTATATACATAGTTTTAATATTCCATAAATGGGATGAGCCAATGAATAAAAAAACAATGTGACATCTCATAGTTTCTTGTAAATTAAATTTACAACAACTAATTAGAGAACTTTTACTTAAAAAACTTAAGAATACAACTATAACATATACATTCACGATCCGACAATTTGTAGCTTGACTCCTTGTTTAAATCTTAACGCAATCTAGCGACCATATATTAGGGAAGAAATTAAGATGAGACATCTTTACAATTCTTGAACGACAATGCGAGCAGTACTCACATATACATGAAAGAAAATTAATAGCACTTACATTTTTGAGATGATCTATGTAGATGAAAGAAGAGAAGGCGGAAGCAAAATCAAGAATTACACATAACTAAAAAGGCAAGACTTTGAATCAGCAAATTCCCTCCATTCACACATAAAAGAGTAAAGGGAAGCAAAAATATGAATTTTAAATGGGAACCCGACTAAGAGAAGTATATCGAACAGAATAACTAGAATATCCTTCTCTTTGTTATTATTTAAGCATAACAATGTTGTAACTCAAAAATGGTGGGTTAGTAGTCTAACACAACAAATTACTACAAACAAAAGAGGCGACACTTGAATGAATAGGTTCAGGATGATTAAAAAAAGGACACCAAAATAGGCTTAAACAACTTAAAGCTTGGATTCACAGGTCATCTTTAGGCAAAAAATAAGATCCATAAACAACAAAATAAACTAAGACGAACGGGGCACGTTAATACTATACATGATATGGTTGCGAAAATCAAGAATATGAACAGTGATGATTTTTTAGCTCACGAAATCAACTCGAAATACACTTTCGACATCCATATATACTCGAATCACGTTCACAAATAAAGACAAAAAAATTTTCAACCATACACAGAATTCTCATCCTTACTAAACTATCAGAACAAACAAAGCCAAAATAAGAAGAAAACTTTGGGAGAGGTGAGGTTCCATACCTTTTCTGGAACAGCAAACTAGGGAGGTTACGTTAGGAATTCTAACTGCAAACTCTTCTTCAACTCGAATTAAAACAAATCGAAAACAGAGGGCAGAAAGATGATTTTACAATCCCTGGCGATCAAAATGGCGCACCCTGTAGTGTTTTCTCTCTATGATTTTTTGACCCCTTTTTTTTTGTTTGTTGCCTGATTTCTCTCGATTCTTGGATGAATTTTTTTAGTGATTCTCCTCCCCTTTTTTTTAATGAGAACCGAAGTCCTCCTTTTATAGTCTATTTGGGGTCCAAGAATTCAAATTTTGAATTCTTGGAAACACCAATCTTAGAGGAAACAACAAAGTAATCATGACGGAGAAGAAAATCTCTCAAAAATTGACCTTTTCAGGTCGATTTGAGAGGGTTGACCGACTGATGGGACATTTTCCAGTGGCCCAGAGTCGTTCTCTGACGAAGGGGATGGGGGGAGCACGTGGGGCGGCCATGGAGAGGAGCCTGGGGCGTCTGATTTATGGAAAAGGGAAGATCGTTGAGGTGATCTTTGGGGAAGATGAAAGAGGAGGGTGAACGTGATCTCTGGGCAAAAACAGAGTATAGGGCGGCGGTAGAGTATTTTGAGAAGGGTTGAAAAGTCTTACTCATTCTGGATCGTCTGATCATTTGATCGGACAGTCGAAATTAATCAAGAGTATATATATATATATATAAATGCTGAATTAAATTGGGCCCTTAGATTAAATCGGACGGTTGAGATTGAATCTAAAGAAGCACAATCCATGTGCTTCTTATGTGGCATGCATGGAATGGCCGAATTAAAGGACTTGGATTGCTCAAATTAGGTCCATTTAAATTATGACTTCTTTTTATTAAATAGCCATAATTTATTAAATTAAAAAAAATAAATTGCAAGACTAGCTTATTCGTTAAAATTAGTCATTCTAAAAGAAAATTAATATAAATTAGTAACTCATTAATTAATTAAGCCTTCCTAATTTCAAAAATGTTAACAAAAAAAAAATATTCATCGCAATAATAGAAATTTTTATTTAAAAAATCGAGTTAACCCTTAAAAACAATATTAAAAAAAAAGTAAGTAGTAGTATTTATATAATATTTAATTTTTTTATAAAAATAGTATTTATGAAATAACTTTATCAAATAAAATAAGTCATCTTTTCGTATTCCAAAAATTTCATAACATATATATATTTTTTATATTATTATTATTATTATTATTATTATTATTATTACTATTTTAGTTTAATAAATGTGGAGAGCCAGAATTGTG